TTTATAGTGCTCTACAGTAAGTCAAATGTTTGTTTTTGTACTGGTGAATGTTTTTGTTTAAAAATTTATAGAATTTTACATAAAATATGTTTTAAAAAAATATTTTTGTTGTTTTTTTTATAATCATTCTATAAATAGAATAAACAATATGGCCGACAAAATCATCTTACCATCATGAAAATTTGATACAAGATCAAATTATACTTTAGCAAGATGTCCTGAAAATTTCATCAAAATATTTTCAATGGATTTTAAGATATGTAGTTTTAACCAAACCATTCCAAATTAGAGCGAAAGGGTTAATGAAATAAAAATATGGACCTTAATCCATTGTATACGGAAAGGCGAATGTAATGTCGTCATTTATAAATACCCAGCAGTCAGCGCCCAATTTGAATATCCACTGGAATATATGGAGTATATCCAGCAAAAAGAACCGAAATATATTTCTGCTTTATTACTAAAAAGACGCGCACTCACCGTTTCACATTGATTAAATTTATAAAAACGCGCCACGATGCGTAAATTGTGCATCTTACCTTCAATAGAAATATCCATAAAACAGAAATCTCCATATTGATAAATAATACGGCACAACCAACCGAACAGTGATAATTCCCACACAAATGATATATTTAAACTAAAATTACTTTAGCTTTTCACTAAATTTACATCGCATACAATCCAACGATCCTCATTCCAGAACTTGTAATTTATAATAGCCGTTTTTATGCATTACAGAATTTCTTCGTGATCCTTATATATAAAACTACAGGTTAAATAAAATGGTTTCTTCAACTTTATTATTAAGCTGGATTGGCTTCGAAGGTCCGTCGTTCTCAATAAATGATAGCGGCTCGGAATACCTGGGTGAGCTCTGATCAGTCTCATTCAATACCCTCTTTTATAACCCCCTAATTTCTGCACGTCCTAGACTGACCTTGACATTAATTTCCATCCAAAATATGGAATAAACCTCCCCATTTCCCAAGACCGGGGGAGGTGGTAGGGGGGGTGGGGGGGAGAACATTACCTTATTTAATCTACCAACCATATGTCATAAACAGATAGAATTTGATGGATATTTTGACTGGTTATGATTTTACCAAAATATCACTGGTTTTTTTTTACATATAAACATGACGTTCGCTTTTATTAGTATGTGGGATTTGACTCTATAGAAAGAGTAAACTAACAATTTTTCAAAGACCCAATATTGTCTTAAGGACCAAAGTCTTACAACTTGTCTTCTTACGACTATATTTTGCGTTTATACTGCGTACCATAGTCACGCTACTTATAAAGTTGCATTTAATAAAATAAAAATATTGACCTTAATCTATCGCACAAAATGCTATGTCGTCATTTATAAATATCGAACAGGTAGACCCCAATTTGAATATCCTCGTGTATATAGCGAATATGCCAAATTTGCTGTATGTAAATACATGTATACTTATTCTCGTAAATATAATTATTCTCGTCTTTCGACAAGTTATTATTTGTGTCTTCAAATTTGTACCATTCAAATGTCAACCCAACCATTTCAGACTTCACGTCTAACCGTTTCACACATAGTCCATGCAAAGCAATAACGGCTCCGAGATAAAAGTAACAATTCTATCACATGTAAAGGCGTGCACAAGCTTATTTGAGAAGATACAGATATTAAACTATAAATTTGTCAATTTTTTCTTTGAAAATTCTGACAAATTGGTAGCTCTTCGGGAATCGTTGATCATATCGCTTACCCTGTTTGTGTATTGTACGTTTTTATAATAGCTAGCAAATAATATATATCTGAATACTTTCTGAAAGAACATTGTAATTTTATGCAAAAATACATTTCCCTGTTCACCAATGCAATTTGATATTTGATTAAACTTCACATTTCATTTAGACCTTAGACAATTACGTTTCCAACTGGTACGGAGAAGTAATTAAAATTTATTATTATCATCGGAGAGAGGTTTTGCAGATAAAGGGAACAAAGTAATATTAATACTATAAATCGAAATTTTGTTACTGTTATACATATATTAAAGTTTAAGAATGAATATTGATACACTATATATTATATAGTGCGCCCTTCCATATAACGTGCTTAGGGACACTTTACAAAGTGACAATTTATGGACATGTACTGTCGGTTAAAAGCCCGTTTAAATAACTGTGTTTTAAATAGTTTTATTTTTTAAAGAATATAGATATGTACAACATCTTAAACTATAAATGGTAGATTATTCCATAAAACAGAGAGATAGTTTGTTACTGGTTGCAGTAAATTTTACTATACACGTTTCTATGTATTTTATTTACATACCATAAAAAGTTTTAACCATAAATTACCCTATTTTTCATTTTGCACGATTTTGTAAGTTAGCAAAAACATTCAATGAATAAATCTATAAACAAAATTAACAACCGTAATTCAGACAGCAACTTCTAATACACATTTTGGTTGAAATAAATAATCCGTGTAGCTTGTTAATTAGTTTATTACTTTATGGCCCCAATCAAGTATCAAAACACGGCATTTGTTACGCAACACCTAGCTATAGGTCAAGGTTTTCAAACATTCTGGTCAATCAACCATAACAGTTTGACTGTATATACAGGATACTAGTGCTCTAATATTGTATTTTAAAAAAACGATTAGAAATATAAACAGTGTTATTGATGAACTATTTAAATGTTCACATCATATCCAAAGTAATTATATCATCTAGTTCTATCGGGAGCAGATCTATCGTTCAGTAATCATAAGTTTATGGAACTTTAAAATCTTCGCTGAATCCATGGGACAGATACAATACCAAGCTGATCTTTATTTTTTATTTCGGTGCCAACGGCTCGGCCTTCAATGCATACTATCAATCAAAGGTCAATATGTGAACTTGCGCGTGTGTCATATCGGGCGTATGTGTTTCTTTGATATGTTAGATCACGGGACAATTCTGTAATTGCATAAAAACAGCTATTATAAATTACAAGTTCTAGAATGAGGATCGTTGGATTGTATGCGATGTAAATTTAGTGAAAAGCTAAAGTAATTTTAGTTTAAATATATCATTTGTGTGGGAATTACCACTGTTCGGTTGGTTGTGCCGTATTATTTATCAATATGGAGATTTCTGTTTTATGGATATTGCTATTGAAGGTAAGATGTACAATTCACGCATCGTGGCACGTTTTTATAAATTTAAGAAATGTGAAACGGTGAGTGCGTTTTTTTTTTTTAGTAATAAAGCAGAAATATATTTCGGTTCTTTTTGCTGGATATACTCTCTATATTCCAGTGGATACATTCGCCTTTCCGTATACGATAGATTTAAGGTCCATATTTTTATTTCATTAAATGTAACTTTATATATATGGTACGCAATACAAAAGACACATAAGAGAAACGTAGATCATAGCGAGCACACACGCCTATCTAAAGTCCTGTCTTTAATTATACAAAGACCTGCGTAAAACACACGGTCAAATGATAAATCGCACAGTAAAACAGTTTTACTTCCCAAATTTTGATTTAACACGTACGTGTCAGATAAAGCCTGTTGGTCCTTGATTATACTCCTTTTGGTGCAGTTATTGCAAATAGCGAGAAAACACGCCAGTCAAACAATTAATAACATTGACATTCAATTTTTACCGGTCGGTTAATTAAAACACCTCTACAGAAAACGCACAGTCGCACAATTTTTCACCCCTAGCGTTAATTAACTCACCTCTCAGACAGTTTTTCACCCTTTTTAATTAACAATTTTAACGCGGTAATACCGAGTAATAATCGGGAAATTAATTTTCTTTCGACACGCGTACAAATAACAAATGTGACAAAGAATTCTATAAGGGCTGTGCACAGATTGACCCCTTAGCAGTTCTCAGTGTAAACTGAGGAACCGATCAACTCTGTCGTTATAGGTTACTAATTGTCGGATAAGGAATATGATATGACGATATGTCACGTATTTCTTCTGCTTGTTTGCGAAAAATATCTGAAGTAATATCACTAGGGTTTTCAGTGATATTATAAAGCTTAAACACCATTCCGTCGTCATATCATATTCCTTATCCGACAATTAGTAACGGGGAACCTATAACGACAGAGTTGATCGGTTCCTCAGTTTCGAGACCCGGCCATCTTACCGCGCCAATATACGCGATATATATGGCAATTCCAAACTTAGTGAAGACAACTAGGTATTTCTATCACGTCATGATAATATAACCCGACAGCACAATTGTCAAATAGCAGTTGAATACTAAGTTTACTTGTAGACTAAGTGTGCATGTCTGGACGAGTTCCAAATTATGCTATCCAATACTAGAAAAGCTTAGTACGTATATCACACAATTCGACAACCCAGTCCGGTTATCCAAATAATTCCCACTTGTTTATATTATTTTAAACAACACAGCCTAGGCTTAGAGTCTATGCAAATAAGCATTTTATAACGGCAATTCTTTAGCCGTCTCTCTGTTCACCATTAAACAGAAGCAGTAGCTCCGGTGATACAGCACTGCGCAGGTCCATCCGAGATCCCTTTTGTGCTCCGGTCCCCGACGACTATATAAAGGGAACATCCGCACAATTTTATTTAAGCCTGATGAGTTCAAAATGAACGAAACTAATAGCTTCATGAGAGAAACCTGGGATGGCTACTCGCCACTCATAGATTTCTAATTTTATTATACTCACTACGGAGTAACCTTACCAGCTAAGAATTTCATAACTCTGGTCACCTCAAACGAGGTCCATCCGAGATCCCTTTTGTGCTCCGGTCCCCGACGACTATATAAAGGGAACATCCGCACAATTTTATTTAAGCCTGATGAGTTCAAAATGAACGAAACTAATAGCTTCATGAGAGAAATCTGGGACGGCTACTCGCCACTCATAGATTTCTAATTTTCTAAGTTCAATAAGCATGGCCAGAAAACACTTTAATATGTTATAATACAAGTAACTACCTGATTTCTATTTATTATTTGAGTATTTTCAGCAAATCGTGATTCAAGGTGGGCAGCCAATAGACCTAAATATTGTAAATTTGTATTATATAAGGAAAATAAAGACACTATGGATACAATAAGTCTTATTTCTAAAAATATGAGGTACGTCCATATTGTTTTCTTAGACATATAATGTAGTCATGATAATTTGTTTTTTTATGAAGTCAGACTATGTAGCATAGCATATTTAAAGAAAATGGAGGAAGAATATTTAGAATTGTCTGTAGTACTTGTTCTTTAAACTAAAACAGTGTTTCGGATGCAAATTTGTTCGAAAACTGATTGCTATAGTGATATGTATATAACAGGCGAGTTGCTTATAATTACTGTATTGAAATTTGATTCATATTCTTCGAGAATGGATGGTAACTGTTGAATATTTGACCAGTGAATTGTGGGAATTGAACTCAGAATAAGATTTTTCTCTCTTTACATTTTCAAATACTTTATGAAAGTTATGCTGCGTACCATAACACTCATTCACAAAATGGTTACTGTTGCAACTGTGGGTTACCAATCAGGATTTGAATTTTTATCAACCCATCATGTAGTAATATCCATCACACTCTTTTTGTCTGTCTGTCTGGCATCCCAATTTGTTTCTGGAGCAGAACTACAAAACATATTCAGTATATTTCAGGAAACTTTGCACACTCACTGGTCACATGTTGAAGTGGTGCCTTTTGCAATATAGACTTATTTGACTTTTTTTCTTTTTTTTTGTTTCTCTTGATCTTCATAGTTTAATTTGCTGGTATGTGTCATTTCCAGAGAGAATCTTGAGAACAATTAAATATTTATTCTCAAAACTTTCTACACACTCTACTTTTCTGCACCAACAGGGCTAATGAATACCAGCATACACTATGCAGTGTGCCATGAGAAATGCCTTGATAAAGATTGATAATGAACATATTGTGCTCAGCTTAAGCAGAGTGATAATCAATTTGATTGCTCTGTGGTTCATAAAAAGAAAAATGTGCCAGTAAGTAGTGAGTGCCATCTATTTAGTTTGGGATTGATTAAGGCAAAGGACATCAGAATTATTGTTGTTGTTTATATATGATATATATGTACAGATGATATGAATTTATTTTTTTCTTTTAAGGGTAAATACTAACTTATTTCAGTATGCAGGTACTAAAGATAAAAGAGCTAAAACAACACAAGAAGTTACAGCATTTAAGTAAGTTCAGATAAAGGAAAAGTAACATTCAGTATTCAACTTATATTGAACACAAGGTTTATATATTTTACAATAAAATATATAAAAATAAAGTGATCATATTAAATTAATCTATTTATTAGTTTCAAGTTGTGGTTTGAAAACAGAATAACTTGGCCATATTTGTATGGAGCTGAATCATTTTAGCCGAGGCGCTGACGTCTTATGAACTTCGGCTAAACCCAGAACTACGCCCTCTGTCCGTTCGATTGGAGAAATTTTGGTGGTTGAAAATACAGTAGAGAAATTCTGATAGTTGAAAATACAAAATGAAATAGTTACAGTGAATTTGCAAATATGAAAAATAGAGTGAAAAAACATAACTAGATTTTTACATTGTTAATTTTTGTCAAGCAATTTTTGTTTTGATACTAAATAGTGATTTTGTGTTATGTGATATATACAAGTGAAAAATCTTGAAACTGACCATTTTTAGCATTTTGACTATAATAATTTTGCAATTTTAACCATGATATTTTCTTTTAATATAGCAACGATTCGACTCCATAAATTTGTTTTCAATTTTCCAAACGTGTTTCAGACTAACTTGTTTGCATATTAATTGTTTGATATGATTTTTGCATTAGTAATCTGTATACCATGTTTAAATATGATAACTTTCAAGACTTGTTTTGTATTATTTAGAGTTGATGCTGAAAGATTAAAGAACCTAAATGATATTATGAGAAATATGGGTTTTGGTAATTTCAGGTAATTGTCTAATCAATAAACTGTAAGGCAATTAAATTAATAGTAGTACTTGTCAACGTTCATCAATATAGAAGGTAGTTTAGTGAACAGTGTATAATATTGTTCGATTGGATGTAATAATATAGCAAGACTTAACTAATACTAATTTGTCTTTAATGAGGTATGATTTATAGATTTACTGTAATTAATTAAAGCTGATGTGTATATTTTATTGTAAAACAATGTTTAGCCACTTTAAATGAGTACCAGATTGTTTTTGAATATTACCAGTGCTGCAGTTAGACGTTGTACCTGGTTTTACTTGGTACTTATTTGTTTTAGTGACTAAAAATCCCCACGTTAGTCTTGACATTTTTGTGATAAAAAAATGGTAGACATGCAATCATGCATAATGTAAAAAAAAAAAAAGGAGGACAACACCAAATCAAAGATTTATACCAGTAATAAACAATTGCATTGTTGTAAAATATCTCTACTGACTAGTAAAGTGTTTCATAAAGAGAAAAGTGAACCAACATGACAAATCAATTATTGTTATAAAGTACATGTGTAGGTTCCAGATAAAACAGAGAACCAAATAGATAGATAACAAATACTTTTTCACTGACTGGAGTCACATGCACAAGCAACAAATCATAACTGAGTATCGGATCAACCTCTGCTTTTCCTCTTCCGCTTTAAATATGTTTAATTAAATAAACATGCATAAAGATAAAATGTAATAAAATTAGGGAAATGAAATTCCACTCAGTTTTTAATACGCCCACATTTTCTTGTGTACGTCGCCTGTGTCTGTCCGTGTATCCATCTTCCATCCATCTGTGTATATTTATTTGTGGACCCTCTACAGGTCACAATTTGTATCCGATTTTGATGAAACTTTAAATATATACTCTTCAAAAAAAAGTAGGGGATATTGAAATGCAAATACCTATGCAGGTTGTGATATGATAAATAGTCATGGACACTTGATATGAGAGTATGTTCACAGATGAAGAACTTATCGCCCCAACAGAACCACTGAGCTGCACAAGCAACATGCAATAGCGCCAGGGGTTCATTGTCAAATTTGACACTTCAAGGAAGGGTTGATGAAAACTGCAGCGTGCTGGTTTATCTATCCATGTTTGCTTTCCAATTGGTTCTTCCATAAGATTTACTGTTTAGCGTATCTTTGCTTTAGTGTGTTATGTTTAATTTGATCGGGAGACGTGTTTGTCGACGTAAACGTCAACCGACAACACTGCAAGAATTGGCCGTGGCACTGCAAGAGGAGTGGGTCAGATTGCCCCAAATGGTGATTGGACGGTTGATTAGGAGCATGCCACGGAGAATTGCTGAATGTCTGAGGAGTGGTGGAGCAATTACTCATTATTAAGACAAAAATCAAAAACGTTCATTTTCACTTTTGACGGTGTATCTCTTTGCCAGTGAAATGGGGCCATCAGATAAGCCGCCCATATGAACTGTTTATGTTCATGTGTAGGCAAGCCTGTTATTAACATACACTGGTTACCTCTAATAAAAACAGCAGTGCATTTCTGCAGTTTTGTATTGTTTCTGAATATCCCCAACTTTTTTTGAAGAGTATATTTTAATACCCTAAAGATCTTGGCATGTATCGGACTGTAACTTACTGTATTTTTAGTTTGTGGACCCTTTAGATTAAACTTTAAATATATGTTAAGAATCAAAAAATATTGGATGCGTTTGAGTGTGGTGCGCATGAGACCTTCCATTCTAGAGTTATGACCCCTGCTTTTTACCAAAAATGTTAAATATGTACAAGTTTGTGGACCCTCCAGAGGCCACAATTTCTGTCTGATTGAAATATATGTAAAGCCTAGCTCTACAGGGAAAATTTTAGTAAACCTGTGCATGAGATTTACGTGTCATTTGCGTGTGTTCGGCACCGTAGAAGATCACAGAATGGCCATAGAGACTTTTGGTCCTGCACATGCAAATTCTGAGGATCTTGCGAAAAATCACGAATGCACGTACAGTATGTGCGAGGTCTGTACTCCTACATCAAGACAGGAGCATGGCTAGTAGGGGCTTTGTGATGACAGTAAGACAAAGATGCACAGTTTTTGTATGGATGACGTGCATTGGACCTACTACACAAGTACTCCGGACTTACTATCATTTCGGCCTGCAAGTCAAAAGTGCATCTCACTTACTACCTCTGTGTGTTGCATGTAATCAGTGCACAAAACCTGCACGATATACTTGGGAGATTGTCAAGCTTGTATGATTGCAGAAAGCACAGGGGGGGTCACGGTGGCTAAGTGGGTAAGACGCTGGCTCGCTAGCCAGGAGGTCGGGTGTTCGATCCCTGCATTGGCCGAGAAAGTACATTCAGATTTTCCGACATGGTTACCCGTTGTCAGTGATGCAGGACGGAGGGCCTGACAAGGACAGCTGTCTAGTCGTTTGGATGGTACGGAATACCGTGGTCCCGTGTACACATTGGCATGCATATAAAAGATCCCTTGACAGTTGGAATTCAGTATTAGAGTAGGCCATGTTATGTTGTCCGGGCAAAATTTCCCTCATAGCACACTGTATGGCATATGCCCGTCATCATTATCCCAGTTCGGAGCAAACAGTAGGACGTTAAACCCTATTTTCATTTCATTTCAGAAAGCACAAATATGTCTGTCACGACTAAGTTTGTTGAACTTTTACAGGCTGGAGGCATAGGTGTACGGGCTGATTTTCTTTGAGGGTACTGTATCATTTTGGCCCAAAAATACCACAGCAGCACCCGAAAAAAAATGAACCTACATAAATTTACCAGACAGCACCCGATCAACAATCAATGTTTACATTGACTGATCTCATAAGTGTATGATTCGTCATCACACCTAATTAATAATTATCATATATATACACACCATTCTAGTGAAATTAAACATGTAATACCACAACAATCTGAATCGAAATTGGTTTAGTTACAAAAATTTTCACCATTTGGCCACTGCCCGAAGAATTTGATGATTGCCCGAAAAAATTGTTTTGCCCAACTCCAGGGGGACTGGAGGACCAGTCAACTTACTCTTTGAGCCCTTTTTCCTTGGTGCCATTTTTTAAATCAATGAAAATATTCAACTTCTTTTGTCGATATGCCGGAGGCAAAACAATATGCACGTTTGTAATTGTCAAGTGCAGGCCATACTTTGGTGCCCGAAATTGGTTTATTTTAAGTCACACGTATACTCCACAAGCACTACTGATGCACTGTGCACATATTTTAGATTGACACTTTCCACGGAATTACGAAGAAATTTTTCCCTGCGCTTTGAATAAGTTGGACATGCAACCGATACATGACAAGTACTGTGACCTTTTACAAAACTTTCACTCGGTTTCCTGCAGCCTGTCTGCGAGATACCAAACACGTATGGCGGGTTATGACTTATGAGCTAGGCTTTAAGGATCAAAAGATCTTGGATGACTTTGATTTTGGTGTACATTGTACCTTCCGTTGTAGAGTTATAGCCACTGCTTTTTACACAAAATGTGAAATATGCATGAAGTGTGTAGACCCTCCAGGGGATACAATGTTTGTCGGATTCCAATGTTAAGAATTAAAAGTTCTTACTGAGTTCGATTTTAGTGCAAAGGACATTATTTTTAAAACTGAGCCTTTGCCTTTGTCAGCATGTGTATGACAGGCTAAGTTATAACAGAATTTCTTGAATCAGTTTTTAACTGATTTGTTTTTCAAATTCGATGTAAAGCATTGGGACAATGAGAGGATGAGCCCTATTGATTTTCTCTGTTCTCCGTCCATCTCTTGCAAAATGTGGATGTATCTTGCATGGCAACAGCTTGTTAAAACACTTTGAGAAGCTTTCAAATTTTGTTGTAATTTTGCATTGAAAATAAAAGAGTATGAATTTTATTACAGATATGTGAGTTCACCATTAAAATTAGGTCAGTCATCTGGTAATCATTTTACCTTAGTTTTAAGGTCAGTTTTTTTATGATGTTTTAAAGGACAATTCAACAGTAAAAGTTAAATGATATCATTTACCATGTTCACTTTAGCAAGTTTACTTTTTATAAGAAATCAACAGAAGGCTGTATTCATCCATAAATGCCAATTGCCTTTCTTGGACACTTTTTCCATTGTAAAAATAATCAGATTGACTTTTAAAACTCGTAATTTTACACTGATTTTTTATACGCCCACATTTTCATGTGGACGTATATTGTCATCGCCCCTGTCCGTCCTTCCGTCCACAATTGTTTGTGAACACTCTACAGGTCACAAGGTTTATCACCCCCAGGTCTCGGTTCCTTTCGATATTGGCATATATCGGACCGTAACTTCATGGATTATGGCCCCTGATTGTACGAAAAAATTGCGTTTTTAGCTTGTGAACACTGTAGAGGTCACAATTTTTATCCGATTTGGTTAAAACTTGAAATGTATGTTTATAACCCACAGATCTCGGTTCCTTTCGATATTCGCGCATATCAGACCATAACTTCCTGAATTATGGCCCCTGATCGTACGAAAAATCGCGTTTTTAGCTTGTGGACCGCATAAAGGTCACAATTTTTATCCGATTTAAAAAAACGTTTGAATATATCACCGTTACCCCCTAAGGATCGTTAAGTTTGAATTTCGTAAATATCGGACCGAAACTGACGGACAAAATGGCCGCCCCTCGTTCGCAAATAGTGTCAAAATATTGTGTATCAGGGTTGTGGACCCTTTGTAGGTCACAATTGTCATCTGATTTTGATGAAATTTGAAATGCATGTTTATAACCCAAATGTCTTGGTTCCTTTCTATTTTCGTGCATATCGAATCGTAACTTCTCGAATTATGGCCCCTGATCTTAAGAAAAATTGCTTTTTTAGCTTGTCGTCCCTCTAGAGGTCACAATTATTATCCGATTTAAAAAAACGTTCGAATATATCACCGTTACACCGTAATTTTGTCTGTGGTTGAGTTTCATGAAAATCGGACCAAAATTGCCAGACAAAATGGACGCTCCTCGTATGCAAATAATGTAAACAACTGGTATATCAATGTTGTGGACCCTCTAGAGGCCACAATTTTGATCCGATTTTGATGAAACTTGAAATGCAAATTTATAACCCAAAGGTCTCGGTTCCTTCTAGAGGCCACAATTTTGATCCGATTTTGATGAAACTTGAAATGCAAATTTATAACCCAAAGGTCTCGGTTCCTTTCAATATTCGCGCATATCAGATCGTAACTTCCTGAATTATTGCTTCTGGTTGTTCGAATATATCACCGTTACACCATAATGTTTGTTGACTTCGAATTTCATGAACAAGGACAGCTGTCTAGTCGTTCGGATGGGGCCAAAAATCGAGGTCCCGTGTACATATTGGTGTGCACGTAAAAGATCCCTTGGCAGTTGGAATTCAATATAAAAGTAGGCTGTAGTGCTGCCCCGGGCAAAATTTCCCTCATAGCACACTGTATTGCGTATGCCCGTCTTCATTAGCCAAGTTTAGGAGCAGAACAGTAGGACGTTAAACCCCATTTCATTTCATTTCATTTCGAATTTCATGAAAATCGGGCCAAAACTGCTAGACAAACGGCTGCCCCTCGTACGTAAATAGTGTAAACATCTAGTAAATCAAGGTTGTGGACTCTCTAGAGGTCACAATTTTGATCCGATTTTGATGAAACTTGAAATACATGTTTATAACCCAAAGATATTGGTTCCTGTCGATATTCGCGCATATCGGATCGTAACTTCCTGAATTATAGCCCTTGATTGAACAAAAAATCATGTTTTTAGCTTGTGGTCCCTGTAGAGGTCACAATTTTTATCCGATTTAAAAAAACGTGTGAATATATCACCATTACACACTAAGATCTTGGTTCCTTTTGATAATCGAGGATAATCGAACTTAACTTCCTAGATTATGGCCCCTGATTGGTCAAAAAATCGCATTTATAGCATGCAGATTCTCTAGAGGTCAAAAATTTTTTCCGATTTTAAAAACCTTTTAAATACATCACCATTCCACCATAATGAAGATTTAGTCGTATTTCGGTGAAATCGAAATGAAACTGCCCGACAAAATGGCCGCTCTTTGTATGCAAATTGTGTAGAAGTGTGTAATACGAAAGTTGTGAACCCTCTAGAGGTCACAATTTTTATCCAATTTTGATGAAACTTAAAACATATCTTTATATCCCAAAGACCTCAGTCCCTTTTGATATTTGCACATTTCGGGCCATAACTTTCAGAATTTTTGCCCCTGATTGTACAAAAAATCGCGTTTGTTTTTAGCTTGTTTTCTATCCATCTGTTGCAAAATGTGGGCGTATCCTGCCTGGCAGCCACTGGTTATATTAAAACATTTTGTGCTTGGGTTCTCGTTTTATTAAAAAAAAACAATAGCTTTAATCCTTTAGGACGTGGGCTCAGAGAGCTAATGTCATATATGTCCTGCCATCAACTACTGGTATTAATAAAATCAATTCTCCAGATCTGCTCGAAGAATTTTACCAAAATTTTATAGGAATATAGCGTGGATAATCTGTATTCAGATCAGTTCTGTTAAAGAGTTTTAACCCTCGTAGTAGCTATTGGCCAAATGAATGTCTTTGAAAATATATACGTCTTGAAATTCCCTTTTATTGTACAGATTAATTTGTTACAGAAATGTGGAGGGTTCTGATGACCAGATAGAATTAGCTGTATCATCATTACAATCACATGGTTTTATCAATTATTTTGGTATGCAGAGGTTTGGAACAACAACAGTATCAACACATTCTGTAGGAAAAGCCATTCTACGGGAAAACTATAAACTAGCAGTAGATTTAATACTCAGGCCTAGAGATGGGGGTAGGTTTTATCTTAAAGTAGAGTGGCCAACGACCTCAATTATTTGTACTATCTAAACTGGCCTGTTTTTAACAGCATGTTATCCCGCGGATCAAAACAGCGTTTATGAGAAAAGTGCTCTCATGGGCTTGCTCGTGCACTGTAGGCAGCAATCAGTCACCCAAAATAGACATTCACGTGACAATATTCATTCACTTATTTATCAATGAAGCCATGAAAAAATTCTTCTTTACTCGGACATTTAAAAATAAGTAGTTACGAACTAGATTTAAATTTTGGCTAAAACTCAGTGATTTAATTTCGAAGTTAGTTGATTCTAACCAATGACGTATATATTGTAACGGTTCTCGGTTCAGACTTCAGAGTCAATTCATGTAGTTTCGTCCTTTTTCTATCTTTTAAACTCACTTTCGCGGCTTTTCAGGTAGAAATCGTGGAACAAGCTTTATTTTGTAGATTTTAATGTTTATTGACAAAAAACCAATGTTGACATTTTTTCTGAGTAGGTCTTCATAGTATGGGAGGGTATTATCTGAGGGCAGCCATATTACGATAATATTGCAACTTATTTTTTTTATTTCACCTTATTTATAATGGTATCGACATATCAACTGTGATTTGGCATTGTTTTAATATTGACAGGGGTCATGACTATATTTCAGATTTTTTCCATCACTTATGAAGTTATTTCCAAGATAGCGACCATTTTTGGCGGGAAAATTGGACCATGTGCTGATTTTGATTAAGTAGTAGTGTTTGGTGTCAATATATATGTTTTTGGGGTCACAGATTCCATTCCTGAGATTTACAACCTTGTAAAATGATCACATGTTCACATACTTAGCATATTTACAAGATGGCGTTCAGTTTTGACGGGAAAATGGGACGATGTGCAGATTTTGATTAAGTAGTAGTGTTTGGTGTCAATATATATTTTTTAAGGGGCGCAGAATCCATTTCTGACATTTACACCCTGTAAAATGAGCATATATTCACATTTAATCATATTTACAATATTACTGCCACTTGTGGCGGGAAAATCGGACGATATGCTGATTTCGATTAAGTAGTTGTCGTTGGTGTCAAAATATATGTTTTCGGGATGCAGATTCGATTTCAGCCATACACAACTGTGTAAAATGACATCTGTTCACCAATTTCGCATATTTTCAAGATGGCCAAACGTTTTCTAAACACATTATTATCATTTTTATACGCCCACATGGAAATGTGGTCGTATTTTGCTGTCGCCCCCGTCCGTCCGTCCGTCGTCCACAATTTCTTGTGAACACTCTACAGTCCACATTTATCAACTGATTGTTTTGAAATTGATATATGTTGTTTGCATTAGTGAGATGGAGAAGCCTATTTAATTTCAGCAATTTCCGTTAATTTCTTCTGGAGTTATAGCCCTTGTTTCACTTTGTTGCACCTTGTGAACGCTCTAACGACAAAAGTTATCGACCAATCTGTATGAAATTTATATGCATCATTTAAATTAGTAAAACAAAGACTCCTATTGAATTTCAGCAATTTCCGTTAATTACATCTGGAGTTATGGCCCTTGTTTCACTTTGTTGAATCTTGTGAACGCTCTAATGACAACAGTTATCATCCGATCTGTTTGAAATTGATATGCATCATTTAAATTAGTGAAATGAAGAAGCCTATTGAATTTCAGCAATTTCCGTTAATTTTTTCTGGATTTATGGCCCTTGTTTTTTTGTTGTTGATCCTTGTGAACACTCTTAACAACAAAAGTTATCAACCGATCTGTATGAAATTTATATGCATCATTTAAATTAGTAAAACAAAGAAGCCTATTGAATTTCAGCAATTTCCGTTAATTACATCTAGAGTTATAGCCCTTGTTTCACTTTGATGAGGCTTGTGAACGCTCTAATGACAACAGTTATCATCCGATCTGTATGAAATTTATATGTATCATTTAAATTAGTAAAACGAACAAGCCTATTGAGTTTTAGTTATCACCTAAATTAGTGAAATGAAGACGAACAAGCCCATTGAATGTCAGCAATTTCCGTCAATTACGTCTAGAGTTATGGCCCTTGATTTACTTTCTTGTACCTTGTGAATGCTCTAACAACAAAAGTTATTATCCGATCTGTATGAAATGTATATTTATCTTTTAAATTAGTAAAATGAACAAGCCTATTAAGTTTCAGCAAATTTCTGTTAATTACAGCTAGAGTCATGGCCCTTGTTTCACTTTGTTGAATCCTGTGAATGCTTGAACGACAAATTTTATTATCCGATCTGTTTGAAATTGATATGCATCATTTAAATTAGTGCAAAGAAGAAGCCTATTGAAATTCAGCAATTTCCGTTCATTACAAAAGTTATTATCCGATCTGTATGAAATTTATATGTATTGTTTAAATTAGTAAAACAAACAAGTCTATTGAGTTTCAGCAAATTTCTTTTAATTACACACTGAGAAATAGGTAAAGGTTAAAACGTACGTTTGCCGCATTAAAAACTCGCAAAACGGTCAATACCTACGTATCTCGATAAAAAAATAAAATTCGGATTATAACTCCTCATTATGGCTTAAAATCTCTAGATAAGGTGTGTTAATTAACAAGGGTGAAAAATGGACTGAAAGGCGAGTTAATTATCGCAAGGTGTGAACAACTCTAGGACGGTGCGTTTTCTGTACTGAGTATGTTAATTAACCGACGGGTTAAAAACGAATGACTCGGTGTGTATTGTTTAATTGGTGTGTTTTCTCGATAGTTGTTATAACTGCACCAAAAGGGTATAATCAAGGACCAGCAGACTTTATCTGACGCGTGAGTGTTAAATGGAAACTTGGGAAGGAAAATTGTTTTTACCATGCGATTTTTCATTCGCCGGTGTGTTTTTCGCAAATAGGACTTTGTATAAAGACTGGTCTTTATATGTGGAAGTTGTACGGGGCTGTTTCTTCTATGCGTCTTTTGTATTTGTTGATGAACATAAGACGCAGTACGTGTTTTATAGTCACGCCACTTATAAAGTTACATAATAAAATATAAATATGGACCCTAATCTGTCGTAAAAAGGTGAAAACAATGTCGTCATTTATAAGTATCCAGCAGTCAGGCCCCAATTTGAATATATCCTGGTATATAGCGATAAGCTAAATTTACCGTATGTCTATATATATTTTTTTGTTCTGACAATTTATTGTTTTGCGGGTTGAAATTAGTACCACGTAAACGGTAACTCATTGCCGGTTTATTGTTTTGCGTGTTGAAATGAGTACCGCACAACTCGTAGCTCATAGCCAGTTTATTGTTTTGCGTGTTGAAATTAGTACAATGTACGTAACCCGTACTTGTTTCGTTGCAACTTTTAATAGATAACCATTTTGCAATTATATTTATATTATAAACAAAAAAATGTTAGCTGTTCAATAATAATTGTTATATAGCCAGCGTATTTAACAATCATCACATAGATGGTTTCCTATACCGTGAGGGTTTGAACAGTGTTTCATTAATAATTAATTAGACCTAGCAAAACTTATTTAACAATCGTCACATATAGATGGTTTCCATAGTGGTCAGATTAAAGTACATAGTTGAGTATTGGTGGGAGGACATGAAATTTCATATATTATATAAATCCCATGTAATTTCGTCAAATCACTTCATTGTGGAAGCGGGCGCTACATTAAGTTATTTGAGACACACTCTTCTATAATTAAACTAATTTTCTTTACGATGTCGGTTCGATATCAGTGTTGGTGTACGCGTTGTGATGGAAGTGAAGAATATAATCGTCGAACTGTCGAGGAACACATTGTAGCCGAAAGAGACAGAGGGATTATTAAAAGATGTATTGCATAATGGTGTTTATTTTGCCATCCGGTTTAACAGTTCGACGGATAATGAAATGTCCTTAGAAATAGTCAGGACCCACATAATGCGCACAATAATAAATTTTCTGAAATAATAATAATTCAAACAAGTCAAATGATTAATTGATTCCAAGTATATATCATGGCATGTCAGTACAGACTACTGCAATAAGAGTTATTTTCTTTATTACAAATAATCACAAATAACCAAATCAAAATAAGACAATAATCGTCATAAATTTATTCACATTTTTGATATTTTCAATAATACCATTATTGATCATGAAAGCTAATTAATAGCTGAGAGACTAATCTTGTCGGCTCATAATCTTAATTGGTTAATTAACACGTCAGTGTTATAAACTCTACCAAATGTTGACTCATCTGATTGTGTATTGGTCTGTTTATAAAGTTTAACACTGATATGTTTATTACCCGAGATTATGAGCCGATTATAAGATTAGCCAACATATGATTTTACCATAATATATTAACATGGAGTTTTAAAGTTATAAAAGAGAAACCAACATATTTTTGAAAATCAATATTAATTTCATTTTCAGAGAACGTCTATTGGAAAATTGCTAGCTGATCCAACAGATTCCCCATTCCCCACATTGCAAAAAAGATCAACATGTCAAATCGATTCAGTTACTGGTATAAGGTTTTAAAATATCATGTCTTAAATAGCCCCTTCGTCCCTTTAAATATATATTTTTTTATACTTTAACTTATAAATGCAACACACAAACTGCTTACCGTATTTATACAATAGACGATAAATATCCCAAAGAATAACCCGGTTCAGTTTCTTTCCAATAATTATCACAAAAACAAATCATTAAATTTCATTTTTCCAGTTAACATATCGAAGAAGCTTTCAATAAAACACCTAACAACCAGATCTTATGAATGGAATCTTGTCAGGACAGAACTTAGATTAATAGTAACTGATGCGACAATTACATCAAAGAGTCCACATCAGAAGAGTACAAAGGAAATTGCCTAACAAAAAAGCGTGTATTAGTTAAAGGGGCATGGTGCGATATAAGGGATGATTTTTGTGCCAAATTACAAAAATTATCATCACCGGTTAAGGAATGATTTTATTGACAGGAGTATGTCAACTGCGAAT